ATCCTCTCATCGATTACACATATCGTTCGAAATTTTAAAGCAATAAATGATCATGAAACTGTCATGAAATATGCGATCCTTTCCTCATTTACTAATTTGATTGATATGAGAACATGCCATACGCGGTCAGTCGATAGTTTCCAATTAAACGAGAGGCAATCGATGCTTTTGTTGAAATACACCTTCTATCGCGGAAATCAGTGAAGCATTGAACATTGTCAAAGAATAATTAAATCTGGTATGTTGCGCAATCCCAATCGACCGCTACGCCGAAATGTTCGACTTAAACTGACCCAATTATTCTCACAGAAAAAGGCCAAGTTATTTCACAATAAGTTAAGAATGTTTCGAAAAACCGATTAATTTCCAGTATGTTTTTTTCTTAGTCCGTATGTTTTTAATCATTACATAGATCTTATATTAGGAAACATATTAGATGAAATTTAAAATAAAGTTTGATATTTTGAGAGATATTTATATAGTTCAATTTCCACATTTGGATTAAAAGTCAACAAAGAGAGGGTATTAAGTTAAGTGTAAATAAACAAAAGGTTTACTCCCTGATGTTAAAATATTGTATAGAACTATATAGAACATGTGCAGAACTGATTCCGCGATGTCATGTATGCGATGAATTAGTAGATTTTCATATTATTATATGTAAAACAATGAAATCATTACATGAGTTAAAACAATGGATATTAAATCAAATATCCTTTATTTGAGATAATACAAAATTAAATTGTTAATAAATAAAAATGGATAAGTTATAGAAAATTAAAATAAAATTAACTTATTTGAAAAGAATACAAAACTAGATTAATTATCTATTAGAGTGCTTTTTCAGTAAACAAGTTATTTAATATATAAGATTAATATATAGGTTCCGGATACATCCAGGAATGATGATTTTACATGGAAAAAAAGTCAAAAACATAAAATAACATTTTCATATACAAGATTTTATTTTCGAATTGATAAAATAATAAAATTTAAATATGCGTGCGTAAATATCTTGTTTTATTATGTATTGTTGATTACCCAATACAAATATAAACATGACCAAAGGTAGTTCTACATAGTGAAATCTGTTAAGTCGAGACATAATTAAGTGCTAGTCAAAATCGATTTTCCTGACAATAAAATTACGTATTTAAAAAATGGTATTTTACGTCGTTTATTGATTTATTTTTTCATGTAAAATCATTCTTTTCTCAGATGTACCAAAATCACAGAATATAACTTTAATTATTATAATAATAAATTATTATAAACGCAAATTCTTTGTCTTTTAAAGACAATTTGAGTTTTTTAAAAATTGATTTTTTAATGAAAATATATAGAGATTTAATCTTATTATTTTCTTTAACTCATTATGCACACAAGTTAATTATTCTTACAACGAATTTGTACCGCGAGAAATAGAACTCAAGACACCATCTTTATCTAGCTTTTTTAATTAAATTGCGATTGTAAATATAATGTAACGAATATTAAATTAATTTTCAAGATATATCTGTTAAATCATGTTTGAAGATCGATTTTAACTAAATTCTTTAGCAGAAATGTGACTATAAATATAGACTACATTTTTTCAAAGCAGTGTGAGAAAATAATTTTATAATAATTAAATTAATAATTTCTTAGAATTTTTTATGTATTTAATATATTATATTAAATAGAAGTATATTTAATATGCCAAAAAATGATTTTGAAATTATTATCATATATTATAATAATTGTATACTTCGATATTAACTTTATTATTATGATTATTATTTATAATTTTACTATCATTGCAATCGTGTAATAAATAAGATGTAAAAATAGATAATATAGAGTTAAATCGTTTTTTAATCTCAAAATTTTTTATAAAAAAACAGGGAAAGATTAAGCCTATAATATATTGAGAGAGACAGAAAGAGAGAGAGAGAGAGAGAGAGAGAGAGAGAGAGTTCTATTTACTATATAAGTCCGCTTATATATCATATATCTTGTGATGCCTTTCGTGACATGCGTCATGCCGTTTAACGTTAGTTTTACGACGCGTAAAGACATCTCTTCGCGTACGAGCATGTTCCAGCCGGTCACTCCGAGATGTTGCTTTTCACCAGCTGTTGTTTCAGCGGTAAACGAAATTTTCACAAGATCGTTCTCGGAAATCGAAAAGAAAACATGAGCTGTCTTTATGACTTGCCGGAACGATACTCAACTGCTTTGAAGCAGGTGGCATCTGAGACCGCGTGCAAAATGTTTTTGACGAATGCAAAATTATCATGAAGAGATAACGGCTAATCGATACGTCAACTTGCGGACAATTCAATAAATAATATACATTTCACGTTTATTGCATGAAAACCTCAGCGGTAAATTTAGTTAAAAATACATATCATTGATTGTAAATAACGTGAATATTGGAAGCGGAAATGAAATGTTCATGTGACATTTTTGCCTCTAGAAAATATCCAGCGAACCGAAACTCTGAAAATAGAAACGAATTTATACAAATGTGTGATATCGCAAATAAATAAATGATTAAAATGAAACCGATTCGGCAACTAATACCCAGAATTATATCATTATTATCTGATGAATATGAATTTTATTGAGACTGCTTTATGTCACTTTAAAGTGATACACGTTTATCTATTACAACTGATAATTAGATTACTTGAAAATTATCACGTTCGACCAGACTGCAACAGAATTGCTTGTTCCTTACATCAGGATAAATTATACATCGACAAATAGTTTATACATATACAGAATTAAAAAGAATTATTTGAGAACATATATATTGCTCCCAAGAAATATAATATAAGAATACATACAATAATTTGCTAATATCATAAGAAGTATTCTAGTACGGGGAAATATAAAATTGCAAATTATATAATAATTGGAAATGATGAAACTATTATCCTTACCGGTTATATTACTATTATCCTTATTTTACATCCAAATAAATTTGTTCTTTTATTTCCATAATAATCTGTATCTTCAAAATGTTTTAACTTTAGGAAGTGCCTTTTACTAACAACGAAACTCTTACCTGCGATTTTCCGCTCACGCATTCGTCGCCATAGCGTTTCCGCCTTGCGCATCGGCCAGTTCTCGACTTTCGCGCTGAAACTGCGGAAGAACTTGTACTCCTTAAAGTGTGACATTCTTCTACCGCTGGTATTTCTCGTCTGATCGATGTTACCGGAACTCGTTGTACAGCTGGATCGGCAATCCTCACTCGACATGCCTAGCATTTAAAAACTAAATCCCGTTTCCGTTTCACGCATATGTAGCGTTAAATCGCAACTCAACGAACAATTCATCTCGATTAAAACTGTGTGACATGTTTTTTCTTCTCGCAAGAGGTACCATGTTATTATTGAAATCCCGTTTAATATTTCTTCTTTGTGTAAAAAATATTCTCTTTCAATCAAAATACTTTAATATTTAGGTATATAATTTTATTTCATTTAATATCTTGATTTACTGAAGTAAATAGTATCAAAATATCATATTTTATATCTTAATCCTCAACTATATGAGTTGCTCATTTGATCCCGGATGAAAATTTTAGTCTGCCGCTATTTTACGGTTAATGTTGCAGAGTTGAAGTGAGAGGATAAAAAACTTGGAACCTTTCTCTGTCGATTGTGATGCAATTGTTTCGTTACTGTCTTGACACTAATTGTGATGAAATAAAAGTTTGGCTTGGGTGACTTGGACCCGTCAAATGTAGATTCGATAGATTTTTTCTAAAAGTGAAAATTCATTTTAGTAAATGCCTATTTATTAGTGTTGTATTCAAGTATGTGTTGTCTTCTAATTAAAACATATATTCAAAAAAAGCATTTATGCTTGAAACGTCTTGGTGAAATGATCACTCTATTTTCTCGGAATTAGAAAATCGTGAGTAAATAATGACGAAATCATTATATATTTAATACAAAATATTTTTTTTTTTAAAAGAAAATACTCAACATATCCGATATCATTTTTCCGAGAATATATAAAAATGCACTTCAGTTATGCAAATAATTATACTTTTTGAAATGAATCAATGTAACGTTCTTTTTTCTTGAAGTTCACGTTTTTCAAAACACTACTTTTATCTATATCTTTTTTTATTATAAAGATATAATTTAAAAAAAAAACTGATTATTGTTTTTTTGAAAACTGATTCTTTTCATTCTTTTTACAAATTGTTCTTTAATTTTTTGGCATAACTTTTTCAGTTATTATCACAACCTTTTTGTTTTGATATCTCGATTCTATACATTCTGACATTTCATTAAAAACAAAATTTTTTTCTATTGAGATTTGTGATAATTATAGAGTAAAAAATGTCGTGGGAGACGTGGATTCAGACATGTAAATTAAGACTCTAAAACGAGACATATAGTTGAAGGTTAAGATACTTTGATTTAAAATAATATATCTTTTCAAAGATCACAAACTTTAGAACGAAAGACTGTATATTTTTACGCAATAAAAGGAAAAATCGAGATCTAGTTACTTTACCACTTGTTGCCATCAACTGCATATGTTCGGAAAACGACTATTTGTCATATCGTTCGCATCGCGTCGATATGAATCCCTTTCGGAAGTTAACAAGATGATAAGTGAATTTAACTAATCAAGCATTCGTAGCACAAAACTTTTTTTGTTATGATTCTTTCTTTTGTAATCTAATGAGAGCATCCTTCTTTGATTCTCGCCAGAAAAAAATATTTTTCAATATGAATAAATTTGTTTTACTTAAATCATCAATTTAATTGTAGCCATTACTTTAAAATCTTTTCAATCGCTATCGATATTTCTGATATACCTTTCCATTTAATATTATTTCCATTTCACGAGATAGATTCTGGGATTCAGAATACTGGGAAATATTCCTGTTCTCTCCGCGAAAAAATACTTTTATTCGTGACAACCACTCATTTAGAGAAATAAAGATATAAAGTTTGTACGGTTAATGCGAAACGATTCTGAGAACTTACGTCGACCGAACGATTAAATGATCCGGTACATTTCTCGATCTCGAAGAAATTCCATCGCATGTCCAGCGGACGATTCTATATTTTGTTGAGAAAGATAGAGACCAGCTAAGCTCGATAGCTGCCGGCCGTCGATTGATCTCTGCCATTTAATTAAATTCTCTTCTACCAGTATAATCTTCACGCTATTCTTGATGAACATTGAAGCTTCGTACGAAGATGTTCACACTTCAAACATATTATATTCTCCGTTGCATCGAAACTGCAAGATTATCGATACAAATACTTCTTTTTATACCAAGGCACTAAGAATTAAAATGGATTAAAATACTTCTTCATCCGAAATGTCATATTTTGCTTTAATAATCCCGTATTCTGTTTTCAGAATGATATTTCTTCTTTCTAAATAATATTTAAAATATATTTAAATTTTAAATTATATTTAAAATTGAAGAAGCGATCGTAGGAGAAAAGTTTGAAGGATTTTGAATTAATTTTTTAAAAATTCACATAGCCATTAATCGTATTAAATAATTGCGTTTAACACTCCTTAATATTCAAAACTAAATATGAAAATTGTTTAACAATAATATTTATTATATCATAATTAAAAGATAACGGAGCAAATACTTTTTATCGCACAGTACTATATGTTAAAAAGATCGAATGACAAAATTGTCATAAAAGAACATGTAGCAGACATTCATTATAAAAGACTCGCAAACGAAGCAGTTGAAGAATCCGATAGAATATTGAGAGTTGAAGCTTAAAATATCTTTTTCTCCTTGACACATGAATTGATAAGGGAAGATGAATATGGACAAGTATTGCCAGACATTAACTTCCGACGTGTATTGATCTTATCTTATTTGTCGACAGAATATGTAGGAGTAAAATTCTGATATATAATACAGGAAGGTGATAAAGATAAAAGATTTAGAAAGTAATAAAGTTCAATCAAAGTGTGTGTTAGAAAATATAAATTTAAAATTATTTAGAAGCCTAATTAAAAGAAAAGGAAACATGACTAAAAATCAATCACAAACTAGAGAGCCTAGGAGAAAGCCCAATTAATAACATGCCCCTGAATAAAAATTACTCTTGCCAATCACAGAATAGCTGGTCATGTGATCAATTAAATGACGATTTTTTCAGGATCTTCGTCGAAAACGTAATTATTAAACTTCAAATCAAATTCTAGATTCAAATAAATATAAAAACGTATAATTTCTGCTGATAATTTTAGTACCGATAAAAATATGACTACTGAACAATAATGATCGCATTGCTTCCAATGCGATCATTATCGATGATATAGACATGTAATTAAAACGATATAGACATATAATTAAAACGAGGTATTGGCATCCTAAGAGACACGCGAAAGCACATTCGCTTCAAACAAGAATCGGCCATTTCGATGAATAAAAACAAGTTATGTCGCGTGCAGTAAAAGGTTCTTTTTCACAAGCGTCTAATGATCGATAATTTTTAGTACATTATAAAAGCTAAGAAAGCGATACAACAAGTCTTTGTTAAGGAGAAACGTATGTATTACCATAAAATAAGAACGCTATTTCCATCCGAATTTTCGTAATCGTCATTGTCAACATAAATCTTAATTTTCGAAATTCTAACTTTGCGACAATTAGGACACTCGGACTTTAATTAAAGAGAAATCTGCGTCATGCGACAACTGACGCGATAACTGCCATGTTCATTACATTTTACATGTGCATCTTTAATCTTAATTTGACGTACCGAGGCAATCTATGGAAACTGGTGAAACTTAAGCTTCAAGCAAGATAAGATTGTTCAAGGGTATTTAGAAGTTTTTCAAACTTTCCTTTTACCTCCTTGTTTAGTAATATTCCTGAAAGACCTAAAAGTCATTAATTCCAAACTTTCCATTAATCCCCGGCAAAAGATATTATCCGTGCCTGCTAAAGCTTCACACTTCACCAGCCTCTCTTTATAATGCAAACCTGATTCAAATTTCCAACTCGCGCGATCTATCGCCTTTCCTTCTGTCAATTATTTAAAATTATGTATTTATCACTCGATTCTTTGCTGCAATCTTCCGTTTGCACCTTTAATTTTTTTTTCATTTTCAAACATTTGCACGAGATAGAGAAAAATAGATCGAGTTATCTGCGCGTAAAATCAAATTCCAAGTTTCGCTAACGAGCTTTCCCGTGTTGCTTTCCTGCGACAACTACGCGATCGATATGTTTCTCTAAAGTCATCGTAGCGTACGCAAATTAATCAGCACCCCGCTTACAAGACCGGCCATCAGTATCTTCCGCGTTTGCAAAAAAAAAAAAAAGGAAACGGTTAACAGGTCCCGGTTGCAGAGAAAGCCGCGAAACCGTGAATAGGTGAAAATGCAACTACGCGTGCGAGCATATGCTCGCACAAAGGCGCCTCTCTTCAAGGTTACTCAGCACCTCTCAGGCGTACGATGGAGAGATTTATTGCGCAAGCCTCACGGTGGTGTGTACATTGTCGAAGGAAAGCGGTAATCATGATGCTTAACGAGCGATTTGTGGCACTTTACAGTGGGACGGTCTCATCCGCGTCGGATTTCGTGAGATGCGTCGGACGCATCCGAGAACTATCCGTCATCTGGTGCACTCCAGATCACCGCATATCTTCTACTGAATCATATGATTACGTCAACATGTTGTTATGCGAATTATTTACAGTTACGTCGCTGAATCATCGAACGTACTACATTTCACATTCGGAGAAAACAAAGGTAATTTTATATTTTGTAGGATTCTCAAGAGAAATTTTCCTAGATAATAAAAATAGTTAGAAAACACAGAATAAACTTTTAAAAAACATTATATCGTCCAGTGGTTTTGGAATTTTCGCATTGTACAAATAGCTTTATCGCGTTATTGGAATACTATTATTCTTATCCGTAATTTATAAGCATCTCGAGAGTATATTTAAAAATAAATGGAAAACTTGTAGCATGACCTTTCGCGGTTCGCGGTATTATCTGGCTAGAGTTGCAAGAACTGAGATTATTAAACCACAAGAAACTACCAAGCAAAATACCATAATTATCATATTATAATGTAAGACAATGTATCATTTTACGAATTTAAAAAAATTTAAGACAACAATTTAGAGACAGAAATTATTATTTAATAAATTAACTTTCTCTCTTTGTAAACTTCGATACTCACAATTTATTTCTAAAAAATTACTTTATTATTAATTATTAATTAATTATAAATATCTATTTAAAATAATTCTAAATAATAGAACTATTTAATTAATTAATTCTAAATATTCTTTACTTCGAGATTTCGAAAAGATTTTATAAAAAGTGGATAATGCATAAAGTATAACCGCAGTTTTCTTAAAATCAGTCGTTTACCAAGCGATGCTAAAGTCTATAATTAGCGACATCAGATCTAAATAAAAAATTATAGCAGGATATTTCGCGCTCGTATGAGTTTAGCTGTTCCGGCTAGTTGTCAACTAACCTGCGATCGTGATCGCTGTAAAATTTGCACGCGTCAAGTCATTTATCCCGTCGATCGCTAAATAAACTGCTATTAGATAAGCTGAAGTCTTTTCTCTCGACGGTTTGTCAACGAGGGTCAACAATGGCCAACGACATGGTAGGAAAACCGATGCCTTTCTCCAGTCGTTGTTTGAGCGGACCAGGCTCGCTTAATGGCAAGATTAAATACTTTGCGGGCGAACAATAAGGAAGCTATCTCCTTGTACGATCAGGCATCGATCTTAATTCGGTATTGTTACGAAACATCATTTAACCATTGACTAACTTGAAATGGCCTGTCGTTTTGAATAACTTCAATCTACCAGAGATCAATGAGATAAAATTGATCGAAAGCTTTTACGCATGGGACATTTATGTTTATTTGCCATGTTAAAGCGATGAAAGTGACTTAGACAGGTGCCATCTAATGACTAATCAAGACAGACATTATAGTCATTATTAATGTGCATTTATCGACCCTTTTATGGCGCGGCCAATAATAAAATCGATAGATCGGGCAATTTATACACGACTAACGCGAGTTACATAAAGGGAAAGTAAATTTTTTGCGAGGGCTTAAATATCTATGCAGATAGAAGAGATTATAATTGATGACACGACAAAAGATAAAAAAAAAATTAATGCTCTACGTTTAAATCTCGATTAACGTAAAACTTCTTTATCCTCTTTTGCCGCATCATCTAACGCATCATCTTCCATCTGTGCAGATATTTAATCTCTCAGAAAATTTATTACGCGTTAAAATACATTTAAATGAAAAATGATATAGCTGATTGCATTCTCGTCGCCTTATTGCAATCATGTCTCGTTTCGCAAAATTGTGAAAATTTTATTGAAACGCGTGACGGAAAGCGACGGTGGTTGTTGCCGCGAATAATTGCGACAAAATGGCGAATGCGCGCAAATGGAGCGTGACCGTTATACGAGCAACGACAGCAGTGAATTTCGCGGATTCCGCTTGTCAATAATATTGCTGTCACGCTTCGATAGACATTTCACGGTGAGGACCGCCGCGGGCTTCATATATTTTTAGCGCCGGAAACTTTCATCGGGTGAAAATAGTATGAACACATAAATTTACGACGGCTATGTACTGTCTCGTGAGCCAACTTACTTTTCAGAGCGTTCAATGAAACCCGAGGGAGACCTGCTACACCGAATCTCACGTTTCTGTAATTAAACGGCGCAGAAGTGCTACCAGATGTGTAAGTCTTGACAGGAATGTAGACGATACAGAAAATTGATCGCGCAGCCGGAATATTAGAAGAAAGCTTTCTGGCTGTTCTCAACAGTTATCGATTAAATATTTGACAGTAACAGATGATTCGATTGCAAGCTTATCGATCTGTGTCTTATCAAATTCTTCAATTTTAAAGAAAATTTTTTATTTATTTTTTTTCGTATTTTTTTCAATCTGGAATTTAAAAGCGCAAAATCATATAATGTTCCTTTATAAAATAAAGTACATTTAAAACACAAACACAAACAAAATAAATTTAATAAAAATTTTATTATTTATTTCCTAGAGATTTATTTCAATAGGAATTGATTTTTTAATTATATTTCAATAAAAGTTTATTCATCATTATTAATTAAATGTAATGAAATTATATTCTCCATTTTAAAAGTTTATCCAAATAAAAGTTTTCCAATAAAAATTTATTTTAATTTTTTGTAATTATATTTGCTTTGTCAAAAATATCGATTTATTACTTTTAATTATTATTTGAAAAAATAATAATTAAATTATATTGATTTGAAAAATAAAATTTCAATAATTCATCAGAATTTCCTCATGTTTCCTTAATTCTTTTGACTTAAAGTTCTACTTTTAAAAAATGATTCAATAATTAAATTTATCTTTGACAAATAAAAGCCATAATCATATTAACTATAATCATATCTAATATGTAAAATAGAACCATTATAAAAACTATTATTTTGTTGTTACAAAAATATTATGCCACTGATTAAAGACAAAGAAAACTTGGACGCTGACAATTGTAAATGTTTTTAAACATCTCTGTGGGTTACTAATGTGTTACGTCAACGAGCTGATGGATGACGGATACCAAATGCCGCACGAAAGCGCGCGTGCGTGCGAGTTTGACGGGCCGGTGTCCGAAAATTATAAAACACTTTTCCAAGAAACAGCAACTGCTGCAAAATATCGTTCTGTTCTCCTAATCCTTCTCTCACTTTTTTCTTTTGTTGAATAGATGGAATCTATATTAAGAGCCTAAAGATTTCTGATAATGATGTATGAAGAAATTAAAGATTGTCATCTCACGAGATAATATTAGCGAGATAATACGATCTAACACTTCGCGTGTAATTATTTTTCACACACTTCATCATCTTTTATAATATAAAATCTTCAAGAAATTCATAAAAAAGAGAACGTACATACATTTCAATAAATAAAATTAATCAACGATTGGCTTAGTCCTGCTGCATGTTCCGATAAGCCGAATAACCCTCAAAATTCTCCTATAATCGCTCAGATTATTCAAAAGGATCCTAGAGACGCGATCGGCCACACGGAATTATTCCTAAGTTTCTCGGACTTCGATGGTCAATTAATGAAGCGTATGCGCAATGACATGGCTCGAAATGAGTCGTGTGACAGCGCGAGAGATGCGCGCGCGAGTCGCGTGGAAGGCCGCCTCGTAAAGTGCGACCCAACGTCGCGGTGCCCGTGATAGCGACGACTGGCGATGACTTCCACCAGGGAACGGAACGAAAGCCACCGGTGACGACGACGACGGCGGCGGCGGCGCCGCGGCGCAAGCGTCCCGCACGACCTGCTCTTTTCCGCGCTTTTCTCCGCGATCAGATCGAATCACCTGCGTTACAATGTGATTTGCGCGTAATGCCTCTACCGTCGACGAACAGTCAATCTGATTAATCCACAAACCGCAGGATCAATTGTCGAAAATTACGTGTGCTCTCGGTGCACTTCAGCTGAATTCAGATTATTGAGAGAAGATCCGCTTGGAGATCCGCAATATATCGGGCTACCGCACGTAACCAATATTTATTTTCCCGCAATTCACTCCGCAGGTATAGTTCTGTGTATCAAGTACGGGAATGTATATAAAGTTTATTTATATATTATTTATAAAAAAAAAAGAAGAAATGTTCGGAAAGCTATATAACAGTTTGCGATATCAAGAAAATTTCGTTAAATCATATTTTTGTGTCGACAAGAAGTTTTTTTTTGTAACATTTCGAATATTGATTCATTCTTGATGGCATTCGAAGGTTGTAGGATGCTGCTCCAGTTTGCTTGGCAAGGATTAATCTGACATTGTTGTAATGAGCTTTTCGAACTGTCATTTGTTTCCATTCTACCTATTCACGTATCACGTATCGCGCTAGTAACTTTCTATAGACAATGTAAAGCAAACCAAAGGCTATTATGATAAAATTAGAATAAAATCCAGTAGATATTAATTAATGCTTTAAAACCCTGCCGTTTTAAAACTCATGATAATAGAAGTGTATGCAGAAGTTTTAAACTTTTTCCTCAACGTTTTAGTATCAATTATTTTAAATTTAAATAATTTATTGCCTTTTTATATATTTGTAAGATTAATATCGAATTATCTGAAACACCATATTTTACAATATAATTTAATAATGCACATAATCTTACAAGATAACACAAATGAGCGACGATAGCTTTTATATTCGACGTTACATTTTATATTCGGTATGAGTTCCAGCAAGGAAAAACCGCTACTAAAAAGCAAAAAGTGAATCGAGTATTCTTGGCGAGAGTATTGTATCTCATAATATGTACAAATACTGATTTCATCGTTTTTAAAACAATTTTAATGTAATGGTCCTTTTGTGCATCTATTTGATGAAAGCTATTTTTAATAAAAGGTATTTCATTAAATCGAGTGAAATTGCCAAACGCATTTTTGTCATCAATTAAATAATTTAGTTGAAAAAATAAAAGGAAGGTACTTATATTATATGTAAGTAAAAAAATTTTTTAAATATCTGTACATATCTAATATATTGATAGTATAGTTTCAAAAAAGTAGTTTTTTTTTCAAGTTGCAGAAAAAAATTAAAATTATTTTCTTTTCAAAAAGAAGCAAATATGGCAGATTTTACGGACACATATAAATTTTTCCAATGAATTTTTCTATTCTTGGGAAAGGAACAGAGAAAATCAATGGAAAAATAAAAAAAAACGGTTTTTCTTCGAAAACTATAATTGATGGTATGATGTATATACCTAATATATTGATGATTGTTAAATTTATAGTGTCAATTTTAATTTAATTTAATTGTCATTGCTCAATATATCGTTATTTTATATTAAACAATGGATAAAATTATGACATAAAATTAGATTTTTGACATAAAAGTAGATTTTTAATAGTGATTTCGAGTATAACTAAATATGGAATTGTAAAAATGCCTTAAATGTGAGAAAAGTATCACAATTTCACAAATTTGTTAAACATATTTAAACATTCATCAACGTCATTTCAATATTATTAAATTCCTGCAAACAGCAATGTATAATTGTGTATATATATATGTAATATTTAAAATTATAGATTTAATTTTCTCATATTATAAAATTCCTTTTCATGTAACTAGATTTATAAAATATGAAAAAATATAAGTATTTTATGGAAATATCAGGAAATGTAATTTCTCTATCTAAATGTGCGAAACAGGATTTTTGCATTAACGGGAAATTCGATCGTTAACCCCAATCATGAATCGTCGTGGTGTCATCGGCTATAAATTTCTAACAAGATGAAGAAGAAGAAATAATTTATTGCTTCTAATTATTTTGTGCCAATCACTTTCTGTCGTGTAAACTAAGTACGGTTCTTTCCAGTTTGTTCAACACACCGCCTTGTGAAAAAATAGCGAGAATGTAAGCGCAAACACGCGCAAGCGGATATTAATTCGAATCGTCGATAGAAAAGCAATAAACGTATCTCTTTTCATCGTCATCTGCTCGTAGAATTGTTCTATTTATTTTTACATTTCCATCGCCAAATCCGCGTGGCACTAATGCATTCGTGCGAGAGTAGTTCCTGAATGATTAATTTTAGCACAGCGCAGCCGTCGGAATTCCTTAAGAATATCATTCCTTGACGCGAATAAATTATTCTCGTTTTAAATTATGGCAATATTAAAATAATAGAGCGCGAAAAATCTACATTAAAAGCTAAAGATTGAAAGAAGAAGCTATTACAAAATTTCAAAGTCTCATGATTGAAAAATTGATTAAGAATAGAAAAGCCCTAATATATTCATATAAACAATATTACCGGTCTTCATTCGTTTATTCGTTTATAAACATAAAAAAAATAAATTAGAAAAATCTTGATGCACACGCGCGCGCACGCGCTTGACCTTTGACGGTTTTATAATAAAATTCCGAATTATTGTATGTATAAGTACCTGATTAAGAAAAATCGATAGCTCCTCAGTGACCGTCGGGGAAAATATGATGTGAAGTTTTATTTTTAAATCAGATAATAAATAGATTCCCTTTACGACGCCATACAAGTAATTTTCTAGTTCAAGGCGGCAGAGGTATTACTGATTTTCCACTCCGTAGCGAACCATCACGAAGTCGCTTCTTTTCATCTAGTATATTTCTATCGTAAGATTTATTCGATTAGCACGTTGCCGATTAGATCGCCGCGAGCAAGAAGGAAAGTGCATCGCCGGCGCATCCAGAGATGCATTCTATTTGTGGGCGTGCCTATACCGGAAGTCATAATCACATCGCGCCATGAGATCGCGCCGCGAGAAAGCAATTAGTTCACGTCGATAATTAATTAAACTTTCGCGATCGATTCCGCGACACAATGCAACAGCATGCGCTTCAGATAGGAAACGATCGAGGAACTTTCATGTAGAGCGCGACAGAAGATAAGGTGCATCTCTCGATATCTATCATTATTTTTATATTGCTATGAAGAAGTTAATTAAACTTCCTTCTTCCCTTTTTTTACAACACATGTGTATATATCTCACCTATCTTGTAGTTATAATTTCTGTATATGCATATTTAATATACGTAAAGAACAATTTTGCTACACTGAGAAAAAGATATATTTAAAAATTTATTTGTGATTTATGTTTACTTTACTAAAATAAATCCTTATTTAAATAAGATAAAATACAATTTTATTTCTAGGAAAGTATACATCCACTTTATTTTTTACATTTAATTATATATATTTCACAAAATATACGAGTATGTATATATTACTATCCAATCAAATGTTTTTATAATGATAAGTATTAGTAATAAGTAATTTTAAAGAAAACAGTCGAGTTACATAAATCCAATTGGAGATACCGCATGTCCCGTAATATTTTCTCGTAAATATTTCAATTTTTTTTTCAGTGTAAAATATTTAAAAATTTAGCTCGTACAAATATGAAAATAATTTTATTAATCATCAAAATAATTATGCAGGACTCAAGTTGGTTGCCAGAATATTCAAACTTTTCGCAGCATAGCCCATTATTTAAGTGTTCTACATAATTACTTTGATAATCCAACAAAATCATTTTCAGATCTGTGTATCTACCAAAATTTTTAATTCAAAATCATATAAATATGTTAAAATATAAATCTGATCATAAAAAGAATTTTTATTACTGACATATATTTTATTTAACGAGATAAATCAATTAAAAGAATTGCAGTATCGTTTGTATCAATCCTACAGAGCATCCATAATTTCCACCCACAAATAGCGTAACCAGATAAATCTCGGAATGGTTCGAACATTACGTGAAAATTAGTCGGGTCACGACATCCCCGAGTGTCTTCAATTAATTGCAAGCTATGTAATAGTATGCGCGATATTACACGCGTTAAGTACAACTGGAGAGACCACGTATCGTAATGAACCTTCAGACACCGCATTACTGTATCACCGCAATTGGAGGGCGAAAATTCCGCCGTTTCCACCGTGCCACCGCAAATTACATTCGATCGCGTTGCACCCCCCGTGAAATTAATTACGCATTAAATTCGTTATCGGACGCCCGACTATTGTTCGAGAAGATCGGTATCGATCGCGATCGTTGCGTTCGCGCGATCAAAGATGTCAATATTCATTATAACCCGTGTCGGGCTCGTTTGCATCCCACGCGAGGAACGCAAATTAATGGCAGATTGGCGTCGTGAGCTGTCAACCACCGTTCAAATGTAATCAGACGCAAACCGGAGAGATGCCAGTCCCGCCACGATCCCGTGTGATTTATGTATGTGCGGTATCCGAATATCTACAATGTCAGGATAACCGTCCATTCGCTTTAAACGGTAGAGTTTTTCACAAATTTAATATACATAAATTCAGTAAAGCGTATAATAAATTAAGTCTTTAATTTCTAACTTGAAAATTTTGTTAGAAAAATTCCGTTTAGAATTCACAATCAGCTATTTTAAATAAGTCTTATTTGTATTTGTAAAACAAAACCTAAAACAATTTTTAATATTTTGAAAAATCAACTTGCTCTCATTTCATGCACAGTTATCTTTATTCAATCCTCAAGCATAAGTGTCATCACGTTGCAGCTCATATTTTAGTTGTGCAGTATCGCAGTATACGAGAAATTATATTATACGAATTGAAGACTCTTCTCTCGTTTTGCGAGAGAGGAGTCATACAATCCTTTTACCAATTGCACAT